TATTCATAGTCCATAATATGAAATTTTATTAGATGACATTGTTTATTTTCAATTACTTTGCATTACTGATGATAATAGAACTGCTGACATTTATAGATGTGGTCTAGCAAACCCTCCTCAGCATAATTCCCTATTTCAAAGGATTGGCAGGCTGAGACTCTCTTTGCTAAAATAAGCAGCTCTGCCCAAGAGACTCAGAAACCCCACCATTGCTTCAATTTACCCCCTGCCCAGTTCCCTGACCTGGCCTAGGGATCCCTGCCTTATCAATCGGCCTAGTAAAGTAGTCTTCCTAAGCATCCAAATTCCTAAAACTGGACTCATTTATTTCCAGGGATAAATTTAAACATATATATATATATAAAATCTTTATAGAATTGACTCAGAACATATTATAGGTTTTATTCTATAAATTTATTATCTTTTTATGCTTGATTTAGAATATTTTATATATAATTTACCTTCTCTCCAACATTTGGTACCTATCATTTGCTTGCCTCCTCCCAGGACTAACTAAATCAGAGATGACAGGAGTTTCCAGTCTAAGAAGTACAGAGTACACACAATAAAAGGCTCCCCAAGACTGTGATAAGAGGGTCTTTTTCTCTTTGCAGGCCTTGTTGTGTCTGTCTGAACAGGATAGTAGTCATAGCATAGTAGGTAGAGCGTTTGCGACCCGGGTTGGATTCCTCCACCCCTCTCGGAGAACCCGGCAAGCTACCAAGAGTATCTCGCTCGCACGGCAAAGGCTGTCAAGCTACCCATGATGTATTTGATATGCCAAATACAGTAACAACAAGTCTCACAATAGAGACATTACTAGGCCCACTCGAGCAAATCGATGAACAACGGGAGGACAGTGCTAAAGTGCTACAATGCTCTGCCTAAACTGTCTTGGTTACCTGGGATTCTTCTATTGCCTCATAGCTCAGAAACAGTAGAGCCTGGGTTTGAGCATCTCCTCCTTTCTCTTTACTTATAAGCCATTTATATGTTTCTCTTTTACAAACTTTATATGATGCAGTTCTAAGCAACCTGAAGTGGTGATATTCTGACCAAGTATGTTTGTGATTAGCAACTGAAAACTGGGAAGAAGTCCATATATTTTAGTATGTGGTAAGTACCAGGCTAAGTCCTTTACAATTACTGAACCATTTTATCTTAAAAATAACCTTATAAAGAAAGTTTTTGGGGGCATGGTGCTGCCAGCAGGTCAATTGGTGGTGGGACTCGGGGCCTGGCGGCTTTTGGCACGGATGCGTCTGGTTCCTGCAGTGGGCTACCGGCGCTCGGCTACCCCAGGTGGGAATGAGTTTCATGCCTTGGCCTGTTTCCCTGGGTGGCCCGGTGGCCGTCATCCTCCAGAGGCCACTGGACAGTCAGGTTTCGGCCCGCAGTGAGGAGACACACGGGGCCTTACAGGATGGGGGTGGAGCCAGCCCAATGAGATCTCGAGTCGTCGCCCATGAACAGCCTCTCTGGCTCCTGATAAAGCTACTTATCAGCCATAATCCCAGAGACTCAGAAACAAATCTTGAAACCCAACGGTTTTTGGCAGAAATGAGTCTAGCCCCTGCAGTAGGTTACTGTTGTTGGGCCACCCCAAGGGGGAAAGGGTGCTGTCCCTCCGCCTGCCCCCCCTTGGTGGCTCAGTGGCCGCCGTCCGCCAGAGGCCATTGGACAGTCAAGTTTGGGCCTGCAGTGACGAGACGTGTGGGACCTCATGGGATGGGGGTAGAGCTTGCCCTTTTCTCCTTGTCCCAACAAGACCCCGAGTCACTGTCCATGAACGGACTCTCTGTCTCCTGATCAGGCTGCTTGATGGCCATCATCCTAGAGACTCAGAAACAAATCTCGGAACTCAGCAGGTTTTGGCAAGAAATCCCTCCGGATTTAATTGTTAAAATTTCAGAATTTCAAAATTGCACAGCCACTACTGCAGCCACGCGACATCATATATTATTCATAACCAGCAATAGAAAACAAATTGTCTACTGCTGCCTTTGCGGCATAACTGAGTATTGGGGCAAAATCCCAAATAACAATGGTGGGTGTGCTGTCAAAATGTTGAATATGATCAAAGTGTAGAGGGAGTAATTTGGAAATCATCTGCCCCACAGATGGGGGGAGGGTGTGGGAGGGGGAGGTGCTGGGGATTTTGGTGGTGGATAATGGGCACTGGTGCAGGTGCAGGTGTTTCTTTGTATGGCCGAGACTTGCCCCGAGGGCTTTGTGGCTGCTCTCACCGTGATTCAATAAATAAAATTGTAAACAATGGGGAAAAATGTAAGGTGGAGTTCATACACAATCAGCCTAATCAGTGACTGAATAAATAGCAGTACTCCTACATAAAAAAAAATTATTATTACCATCTCCATGTTACAGATTGGGAAACTGAGCTTCAGAGAATTTAAAATAATTTTTAATGTTATTTTATACTGGGCACCATAACTTATAAAGAGTTATTAGCAAAATTTCACACATGGAATATTACAGCTTGGTGTCTGCTTCCCTCCACCATAATTTTTGAATACAGAATATATTGCTGATTTATTTGTTTTGCTGGGGTTTTGTTGTTTTTTGGCTGTGGGGGGGGGGGGGGTGGCGGGAGGCAACCTGAAGGTTCTCAGAGCCTACTTCTGGCTCTGTGCTCAGGGGTGACTCCTGGCAATGCTCTGGGAATCTTATTAGGTACCAGAGATTGAACCTTGAACCTGGGTTGATAACTTGCAGGCAAATGCTCTACCTGCTGTCTTATCATTCAGGCCCTTTGTTGCTGATTTTTAAGACCTTTTAACTTTAAAGTTTTGGGAAATCATAGTTTTTCTTTATTAGTTAAATTTGTATTTTCTCAAGGAGGGAGAAATAAGACCTAAGATTTTGAGGAGTTCCACTGTACACTGTCCTCCCATTGTTCATAGATTTGCTCGAGTGGGCCCAGTAACATCTCCATTTTTGAGACTTTTTGTTACTGTGTTTTGGCATATTGAATATGTCCCGGCAGCTTGCCAGGCTCTCCAAGAGGGGCAGAGGAATCGAACCCCGCTTGGCCAGGCTGGCTGCGTGCAAGACAAACACCCTACCGCTGATAACCCTTAAATATCACAGATGGCTGAGGTTAGAAGAGAAGAGCATGAAAATAAAGTTCTTTTTTATGTATTTTGGGCCAGATCCAGAGGTGCTAGGGGCCTAGTCCAGTACTCAGAGTCAGTCTTGGCAGTGCCCTGGAACCAGACCTTGTCCAGCCCTCTGTGGCATAGTCAAGCATCTGAATTTTTTAATACATTACTTAAGGTCACAAGAGTAACTTTTGTACTCGGTGGCAGAGGGACAACTTGAAATTCCAACAGAAAACAATGTATTTTGGACTATAGTCTCAATACCAGGAACAATTGCAAAGCAAGCTGACTCCAGAGTCTCTAGTCTTAGCTTGTTAGTTAAATTGGCTCTCTTTATTATCTCCATTGTAAAGAGGGTGACCAAAAATTGGACAGGTCAGAGAATTTGTCAAGGTCACATAACTTGTGCTGATGCTTCCTTTTAACAGATACAAGTCACATTTGCAAATTGATACTACTAATTTTGTGTCCATTGAATGTTTCTTGGTAAATAAACCAAGAATCTATTGCTATTAATAGAAAAAAAAAGTCAGCTAACTGACAGATAACAGCTTTTCTGCTTAGATTTTCACTTTCCTGTGAAATGTATGATTTGAAAGGACTGATGTTCTACAGACTGTATTTTGAGATCTAGAAATACGCTGTGGCATATCTAAAACTTTATGATTTTTCAATATTTTTCAAATGTATACTGTGAGTTTTGACATTTTAAATTCTGCCTTGGAGTTTGAATGTTAGAAAAAGCCATAGAATCCCATCTGACTCAAATACAAAGAATCAGCTCTTTAGCTGAACACAAGAGGACTTTAAATCGATTATTGCTTCTAAATGAGAACAGCAAACTTAAACGAGGTGTTCCAAATGCTGAAATGCAGCAAGTCTGTTTTGCTGAATGTATACTATCCTGAAAATTAAGCAGCTAGGGTTTTTGTGGAAGGAAAATTCATCATCATAACTATATATTTTTTAAAAACCCATAGACTTAATATGCCTTTAAAAGTCTATCACCTTTACTGTCCTTTATTCTTTTACATTTTATTTTAGGCACCAGGTTTACAATACCCTTCATGATAGGGTTTCATGCATAAATCATTCCAGCACCACACTTTCCATCAGCGCCCACTTTCCTGCATCATTGTCCCTTCTACCCCCCAGTCTCCACGCTCCCCCCCACCCCTGTGGTATGCTTCCTACTGAGATCAGTTCTCAGTTTCCATCACCTTTGCCTATTTGTTAGAATCCTTAACCCATTTTTACTCTTAATTAGACTGGAATCTCCTTCCTCTTCAGAACTCATGTTTCCCACTGCTGCATTACAGACCTGTCAAAAGGACAGCTATTCTTCCCTACTGAATAAAGCTGAGAATAAAGTCATGGCTGTCAGTGACAGGCATATTTACATAGTAGCAATAGCAGCAGTAGTGTGAATAAAAGACTACTGAAGAAAATAGCAGCATCTGTGTTCTACTCTGATTTCAATAGTAACTAAGTACCTTTGAAATTCTCTGTTCCCAAACAGCAATGGGAGATAGAAGTAATTGTTTGCTTTTGGAAAAATTACATTCTAGTCCTGTATCTTCACAATGCAGCTACAATGCTTAGAAAACAAGACTTCAGGGGCTGGAGAGATAGCACAGCGGGTAGGGCATTTGCCTTGCACTCAGCCAACCCAAGTTTGATTCCTAGCATCCATACAGTCCCCTGAGCAGCGCCAGGAGTGACTCCTGAGTGCAGAGCCAGTAGTAAGCCTTGAGCATCGCTGGGTGTGACCCCAAAAAACAAACAAAAAAAAAAAGAAAAGAAAACAAGTCTTCAGAAAACCAGGTAGGTAGATTTTCCAAACTGTAGATATTCACATGCGGAGCACAGAGATCATCTTACCTGTAAATGAATGGGGCGACTGTGGCTGTATTCGGGTGGCTGTGTTGCTGTTGTTGGGGGAGCTGGACAGCACCATTCCCTGCGCTTTGTCCACTGCCTTGTACTGCAGGTCCGGTGTAGGAGCCAGCTGGAGCTTGACTGCCTTCCCTTCCGTCCAAAGGAGCGGGGCAATTGTTTGTGCTTGCTTTCTCGGAGGTTAAGGGTTTAGGTAAGGACTGGGAAGGGCTTCCCTTGGTAGTCCTGAATTTTTCTGATTCTTTGCTTGTAGAGCTGCCTGGTGAAACCGTCTGCTTGGCTGTTGGCACCTTGGAGCCTGGTTTTGGAATCCCACTGGAAGATGGGATTAAACTTTCCTTCTTGGCCGCGGCCGCCTTGCTGCCCTTGGGGATCAAGCTTGCGATCTTAGATGTCTTTTTTGGAGCTATGTCAATCACCTGCTCTTTCTCGTCCTTGACTGGTTTCTCAGTGCAAACTTTATTTTTGTCCCTGTTCTTGTCCTCTTTTTCCTTTGGCTGTAGCAAAGACTTTTTATTGCTGAGGTTTTTGCTTCCAGCTTTTGGAGGGGCTAGTTTAGGTGACACTTTGGGGCTGCTATTCGTCGAGCCACCGCTATTGAGACCACTGTTCAAACCTTCCATTTCGCCACACTCGGAAAAGGCGTCCTCGTCTCTCCCGCTGTCACCGGGGCCTGAGCTGGGACACTGCGGCGCGCGCAGAGCAGTCCGCGCGTTGACCAGCTTGAATTTTTCAAGCATGGATTTCTGACCTGAGGGGGCCGCTTTGACGCCTTCTGAGACCGGGGGCTTCAGTCTGTCTGCGGATGGGGTCGGGGACGTGACTGGGCTGGGTTGCTTCACCGTGAGCATGGTGGAGGTGGCACTGTGCTTGACGTTCATGGACTTGCTGCGCCAGGGCTTGCTGGAACTTGGAGAAGGGATGGCGGAGGCAGGAGGCTGCGTCGTCGGACCGGGGGGCTGCATGTTCCCATTTACGCCTGGAGATGACTGAGGTCCTTTGGAGGAATCTGAATATGATTTAAAAAAAAAAAACTGGCTAGTTTTAATCATGCACAGCACATCACTGAATACTTCTAAATGTAGTCACCTACAAGAATCTCTGCTCTATTAGGGGAAAATAAATTTGCTTGGCTTTTTTTCCCCTTTTTTTCTTCTAAAATGATTCTTATGCAAATGAAATATGCTAAATCATTGATATTACAGGATTAATAAAATAGTATCCCTCCCCTAAGCAATTATCTGTATTTTTCCAGCTAATATTGTAATTCAGATCAGCAAATTTATATTCCACGCTGTCCTGTCAAGTATGTTGTAGAATGAATATTGAGAAATTGTTCTGAACCTACAGAGAACTGAGCCAAATGATATATGATTAAATATGCTTGTGAATCATGATTTAGTTCTTTGTCCTATCTACTTTGTAAAAGATGCATTAAATTTATACCTATATGGTCAGACAATCTTATGATTACATAGGTTATATATAGTTTTCTACTACAACATGAGATCCATCTTATATAATAGATAACATATAAAAACTTAGAATACCTCTGAAAATATTAATATTATAATCTCGATTTTACAAATTAAAAACTGAAGCAAAGAAAAAATAAAAAAAAACCCAAAGTTCACATGAAATAGAATTGAACTGATCAGTGATGCCTCCCCCTGCCTCCCCTTGCATTCTTCTTGATATTCCAGGAGCAGGGGTTACATAAGCTATCTGTGATGCTAGCACATTTCCCCCACCCCATCTCTGGGGATTGAGCAGATTTAGTTATGTGCATGCACTTTAATTTTGTAATACTCACTAGGCGGCACTGTGGTGCACACACACGTGCTTGCTGGGAGATCCACTCCTGGCACAATGCTCATCAGACAACACACTGTTGCTGAGTCTGGCATCCCTGTCAGTGATCTAACTCAAGTTTCACACTTGCAAGGCAGATAGTCTGTTACCTACAGCCTCCTGCTGTGAGCTGAACAAATGCAAATTCTAGTAGAGAGTAAACTATTAGAAGATTAAGCTTCTTTGGGAGAGTGTTAGGAAAATAAAGCCTTTGTCATAGAAGTACTTTACAATGCCGAAGTATTTGCTTGCTGTCTGAGTACAGAAACTTCATGCTAGGAATTTTTATCTAACTCTTCCAGCACTAATACTTGATTGCAAGTCTGTTTTCTTCTTATTACTTATTGTTTGTCTACTGTGTTTTGGGCTACACCAGGAGGTGTTCAGGGCTTACCCTTGACTCTGTGCTCAGATAATACTCCTGGTGGTAGTTGGGGAACTACATTCTGTGCCAGGAAATGAGCATAGGTCAGCAGCCTGCCTGCATGGCAAGTGTCCTGCCAGCTGCATTATCTCTCTGACTTCAACAAGTTTCATTTTCAAGCACAGAAGATAAAATTAAAATGGCTTGTTAATAATATGTTGTGGTTTAAGGAAAAAACTGAGTTTCAAGTTAAAAATTGTAAAGCACAAAAGTAAGACATAGGAAATTATGTAAATCTGGTTTAATAATTTATCCTACATTGCACTGACCTGAATGCCTCCCTCTTCATATTCATTTCTTTATTGAAGAGGTAAAGTGATAAATGATTGTTTGGTATCTTTGTCAGGGTAGAATCACTCAGAAATATTAATAATTGCATCATTTTTATGAAATACATAAAATTATTTTATAAAAGATATTTTCCTAATACTAATGAATGGACTTTTTAGGTATAATTAATATCCAACAATGGAAAACCACAATGTTTTTACTTTTTAGTATTTTCTTTGAGGATACCAAAAAACACGATAAGTAATATTAATCACTGTCACTGTCTTTCCGTTCTTCATCGATTTGCTCGAGCAGGCCCAGTAACATCTCCATTGTGACAATTGTTACTGTGCTTGGCATAACAAATATGTCATGGGAGCTTGCCAGGCTTTGTCGTGTGGGTGAGATACTCTCGGTAGCTTGCTGGGCTCTCTGCAAGGGGCGGAGGAATCAAACTCGGGTCGGCCATGTTGGCCGCCTGCAAGGCAAATGCCCTACCTTCTGTGCTATAGCTCCAGCCTAATATTAATCAATAGTATGTAATCAATGGAATTTTATGGGGCATAAAATCCTTTCTTGTAACATTTCTAGCAATAACAATTAGAGTTATCTACTTCCTATAATCTATGAATGTCAAATCTAGGCAAAAGATCTATTAATATTTTAAGTTACTATTTTATGCAAGATACTTCAAGACACCTCATTTACTGAAAGAAAGGGAAAGAGACTCATAAAAGCTAAATAATATACATTAAGTGTCAAGTGAGTAGAATGTAGAAAGAAAAATGGTAGTGGAGATAAGAGATGCACAGAGAGTTGTATAAGAATAAGACTATGAAAGATGAGTCAACAAAAATATGTCGGTATTAAATATATGAGGATTGCTTACAGAACCTTTAATGAAATTGTGTCAAAACTTATTATTTTTATCTACAATATTTAAATTTTTAAAAATAATTTTAAATTATTTATTTAATTGTATTTAAAATACCAGGAGACAAACATGGTACCCCCCAAAATAAAAGCCTAAAAAAGTTTAAGTATTTTTTAAAATCTTTTATTTTCTTTAACTTCTTTTTTTAATCACTTTGAGATAGTTTCTTACAAAACTGTTGATGATAAGGTTTCAGTCATACAGTGCCCCTAACAAGCTATACATATTTGTAAGATAAGCATAAGACATCATGTCAAGTTCATCTTCACTTCCTTATACTGTTCTCAAGTTATCTGTGATATCTTTATTAATTAAAATAGTATGAGGAACGATTATAAACTTAACATAGCTAACATTTATTAAAAGCTCTGCAACTTCATTATCTCATATTATTTTATACATAAACTAATCATGTGGAAGGAGCCCTATATCAGACACTCATTTGCAGAAAACAGCATTTCAGAGTCTAAGTAAATCAACTGTGCACATCTGATTGGGGGGAGGGGTACAAGGAATTGATCTGTACTGTCTTACTCTAGTTCCTGAACTCTATGATTGTCTCAGGGTGTCTGACATAACAAATGCTTAGCATAATGATTCTCAAGCTTTAATGCACAGTCACCTGGGGATTCCACTGAAAGCACATCACATTTCAATTCAGCTGATCCGGAATGTACTTTGAGATTCAGCCTTTATATAAGCACCTTCCAGAGGTGTGGATGCTGCAGTCCACGGTTTGAGTAGCAAAGGCTGAGTACAGTCAGAAAATCATGGCAGCTGCTGGGCATGATCAACTTCAAATAACTGTTTCTAAGGAGAATACCCAACTTTGGTTTATTTCTGAAATGTTCCATCGTGAAGGAGCATGAATATGCTCAACTCTGAACATTCAGAACTTATATCAGCTCTGAATTCATATGGATATTTGAAGATTTGTGATTAAGGATAAGTAAACTAAAACTCTGTTCTAGTTTTCTTTATTGCAATATCTTAGTCACATAAAAAAATGTAAAGGTAAGGTAAAGGTAAAGGCCCTCCCGTTGATCGTCGATTTGCTCGAGCGGGCCCAGTAACGTCTCCATTGGAGACTTTGTTGTTACTGTGTCTGGCATATCGAATACTCTCGGTAGCTTGCCGGGCTCTCCGAGAGGGGCGGAGGAATCGAACTCGGGTTGGCCATGTTGGCCGCTTGTAAGGCGAACGCCCTACCACTGTGCTATCGCTTCAGCCCATAAAAAAATGTATCTCTTCTAAGTTAAGCTATCACTGTTTGAAGATGACACGATACTATATCTAGAAAACCCTGAAGACTCAATACAAGATTTCTATATACAAAAGATTTGTATAGTAAAGTGGCAAGCTACAAAACCAACATGAAACGGGCCATGGCTTTCCTATATGCAAATAATGAAATAGATATATTGAAAAATAAAACAGTCTCATTCACCATTGTACCTCAGAAAATTAAACACATTGGAATTGACTTAACTAAAGAGGTGAAATATGTATACAAAGAAAATGACAAAACACTACAGAAATAAATAAAAGAAGATGCAAGAAAATGGAAATACATACCCTGCTCATGGAATGGGGAATTAACATCTTCAAAATAACAACACTCTCTAAAGCATTATACAAATTCTAAGCAAGTCCTAGAAGGATACCTATGTCATTGGATAAAGAAATGATCAAGCACTCCTAAAATTCATATAGAAAAATAATTCCTATAAAATAACCAAAATAACCATTCAAGAAAAGAAGATGGGAGACATCACTTTTCCCAACTTAAACTAAAATTAATTAATTAAATAGCATGGTACTGGTATAAGGACAGATTCCCAGATTAATGGAATAGAATAGAAAATCCAGTGACAGACCTTCAGGCATATGGCCAATTATTCTTCCATAAAGGAACACAATATGTGAAATGGAGGGAGCAAGGAAAGCCTCTTCAACAAGTGGGTATTGTGAAAACTGGTCAGCAACATGCAAAAACAAAACAAAACAAAAAACCCTCAGACACCCTCTTTCTAATGCGCAAAAATCAAACCAAGCTGGCTTAAAGGCCTTGATATCAGATTTGAATACACAAGGTACACAGAGGAAAATACAGGTAGAATCTTCCATAATATTGAAGCTAGAGGCATCTTTTTATGGATGAAATGCCACTGACCAAATAAGTAGAAGCAAACATTAACAAAGGGGACTACGTTAGATTAAGAAGCTTCTGCACCTCAAAGGAAAGGATGATCAGAATACAAAGACACCCCACAGACTGGGAAAAACATATGCCCATCATTCATTCAATAAAGAGTTAATGTCCAACATATATGAAGCATTGGCAAAAGTCTATAAGAAAAATAAAATTCCCAACCCTATCAAATAATATGGAGAAAAAAAGAAACTTCCTCAAAGAAGAAATACAAATAATCAAAAGACATATTAATAATGCTTTATATCACTAATCATCAGGGAAATGCAAATCAAAACGACAATGTGATTATTACCTCATACCAGAGACTGGCACTCA